CAAATTAGTGCGAAAATATGTTTGTCTGTCAAAGTGTGTTATCTTTGGTATTTTTGCATAGATTCTGCTACAAAAAATGGAAGAAAATATGTTTTTGTGACAGGTTGCTAGTAACAAAGTGCCTAAAATATAATTAAAAAATTGGTTCTTTGCCACATTTCCATTTGGAGCTATTGCTCATGACAACTCTAAAAATTACAAGACATTTGGGCTTCTTGGAAACAAAATAAAAAGAAAAGAGGGGTGGCTGAGGACTTTTGAACAATACTGTGTATTATTTTTCGTTTGCACCTGAGTGTTTCATGCCGTGACATGTCAAGGTCCTGTTTCGCTCTGTGTGTGTGTGTGTGTGTGTGTATCCAGTGTCCCTGTCAGTGATTCATACTGTCTTCTACATTTATGCCTCTATTTTGTTCTTTGTAAGATCACCACAGATGTTTGTCGTTTATCTGAAGGGTAAAATAATAGCCACAGTAATTGTGATGCCTGTTTGTTGTGGTTAGACAAGCTATTAAACCCAGAAACAAAAACAACAGTCTATTGGTGCCTAAGGTTGAAAAGGCATGCATGTTGTAGACACTATAGTCCTAAAACTGTTTTTGATTTGCCTAAATCATGAATTGTTTGGGGGGTTTTGCCCAACATTCTTGAAATAATAATATGATAGCATTGCTGTTTACGTTTACAACAATATTCACATTGCTGCTGTGAAACACAGATTTCCTTTACGCAAACGCGTATCACAGCACGTGTGTGATTTTTATTGTTTCTTCTAGTTTCTCACATGATTTCTCGGACTTCTTGTAATCAGCCACGTGCTTCTGCTTGAGACGGTGAAATTACCCCCTTGATGTCACAGTTTTCTTGAACCACTTTAGAGCTGTAACCATTTCCCAGTCATTTGACAATGAGAATTACACGTCAACAGAGAATAGAATAATAGTCATTGAAGTAGCTTAAGCAAGGAAACTGAAGGATTTCAACTTCTCTCTTTTTATATTTTTTAAAATAATGATTTTTGACACAGACATTTTAAGGGACATCATCTTGGAGTTTCAGTGATTTTTATTTACGTTATCATTTCATTGACTTCATTTAACCTATTTTTGTTTTCAGCCATGCAAGTTTTTTGGTGCTATGTTTGCCGATGATGAAGTACATCAGCATGTCTCTTTAGCAGAGGAGATTAAACTGTCCTGTGTGGCACAACAGAAAATGCGTAAAGCAGTTTTGTAGACAATCAGACTCCCATTGGTTTATAAGGTGTTTAATTGAATGGCCTTGCTGTTCTTACTTCAAGTGCCCAACACAATTTTGAGCTAACTAGACACAAGTTAGGTGCTAGTCTTGTGCTGAAAACACGTGCTTCAAAATATATCTGCAGTCACGTGTTGTTGGTCTGATGGTAGCCACTGAAAATGATCATAGCTAGATTTCGGAAGATCTGGGTTGACCTGTTCAGTTGGCATCTTGTCAAAAAAGTTATTGGGCATAAAGTTGAGTTATAGTTTCTGGCTTTATGAGTATTTGAAGTCCGCTTGAGTCCAAGTGACAAATTGAAGTGCTTGGCTCTGAGTTTATAAATACCAGTACTGTTCCAGGACTAGCTATAAGGCGTTCTTGTCCACATCAGATTAAAATCCCTTTTATAGTTTAGCCAGATTGCAAAAGCATCCTGATATCTGTGTGTTGAACTTGCTTCCTAACATGGGCCCAAAGATGGCAGAACAAAGAACACTCGTTTTAATTCATTCTCTACCTGTTAGTTGATGAAGACATAGGAAACCAAACAGCTGCAGGGTTGTTTTCATATATCAACACAGGACTTTGGTGGGATAGCAGTTATTAGACTGATTCACATGACGTAAAGGCCAAAAAAGCTGTTTTACCCTGTTTTCTTGTTATTTCTGACCATCTGAAATAAAGGTCAGTTTACAGTAAGCTGAACACAGTTAACAAAGTTGGTGTGGCTCTGATTTTGGAAGATTCACGAGCTGAATGTTTTGCAAGTTTTTATAATGACATCACTTTAAACTGGCGTAGCTCGTAACAAAGTGCTGATTACAACGCACGCTGAGTGCTTGCATGCCTTCTGCTGTCATATTAAATATCTTCACTTAACCAAACCACGTGTGCAGAAAGCTTCTGCTTAACTCAGCTCTGCTTGGAAGAACACCAAACCATCTCACACGCCCAGTGGAGGCCAGCCGTGCTACCCATTCCTCATTTATCACACCTCAGTTTCATAAGGCTGAAATGATCGCTCTCTCCCAAACTTAATTCAAACTAGAAGGATGGAAAAAATCAGGCACACTCATTCTTTCTTCCTTGTTGTTTACCTCTCGGTTGCATCTCTTGCATCCAAGCACATTCACGTACACACAGCTATCCTGCTGCTGAGCTGGGGATAATTGGTCTGAGATGGCAGTGCTGGTCAGGGGGAAACTCTTTGAAGCCTTTATTCTCCATATGGTGCTCAGTGCACACACAAATAGGCAGCTATGGAGGTTTAACTGGAGAATTGGGGGTATTGGCCATCCCTCAGGGTGCTCAGAGGAGACTTTTAGCTTGTTTAGCAATGATGTCACCTCGGTACTGATTTATTGGACGAGGACTGGGAGGGGACTACATTTGTGTGTGTGTGTGTGTCAGTCTTGAAGTCTCCCAGGGGATTTTTTTTTTTTTAGGTGAGCACAGCTGGCACCCGTAACAGCATATCAGGGGGAGTGGGACAGGAAGTGAGGTCAAGAGCTCTCCAGTACACTCGAGAAAGCAGTGGAGGGTTTCCGTCATGGGGAAATCCAGTCTGCCTGTTTCCCAATTCTCTGCTGACGCAGTCCAAATGTTTAAAAAAAAGAAATCCCAGGAATGAAGTGGATCTTTACACCTGTGGATAATTATGTGTTTTGGTTTGAAACTGACACATTGCTCAGCCAGATCTTTTCTTGTACTAAGCAGCCTGTAACTTCCTCCCTTCCCAAGCTATAATTTGGTGCAGAGCTTGGGTTTTTTTTAGGTGGAGCGTGCACTCGGGCTGAACTCTCTCCTACACATTGTCAGAGTGGTTTCCCGCTGACCAGAGGATCCCTCAGTGGGGGGAGGGGGATTTGTCAAGCCATGTATGTGTTACTGTGTGTGTCACTGCGGGTGAGGTTTAAAGGAAACATTAAGACAAAATTCAGTGAGTATGGGGGGGAGGTGGGCATGTTTTGGTAATTGTAGGGGGAGTGGTGGGGGGGGGAAACCTTTCAGCCACAATATAAAGGCCACCGTTGGTCAGCCTGTGACCAAACAGGACGCAAATTGTCATGTGTGCAAAGATGGGGACGGTGTGGGTTTTTGTGGCTGTGAATTATAGTGCTCTCTACCAAGTTTTTTATGATGACTCTGGAATGTGATGATTACATTTTAACATTTGTTTGTCAGAGTGTTTGACTTCCCTCCTTTAAGATCTGCAGGTTAGCTTAAGGTTGAAATTCTCAATTAAGGCAAGAGTGGAGTGAAATAGAGGGATGTCTTTGGAGATATGACAGCTGATGTAGGGTTTCTGCAGTGAAAGACAATCTGAGCGTGTCACAGTGTGACTGCTGCAAGAAGTGTGTGATATCAGATAGATGTGCCGCATATTGATTTCAAAATCACTTTGGAAATTTAACATCGCACCTTCCTTTACTTCACTTGATATGACCGTATGTGTCGCTGCGTCTCAAACTTTACGTGGAATGCTCCAGTTCTGAAGCCTATAAAAGGTCATGACTCACACACCCTGCTATTTTTATCAATCATTAACAACAAACAATGATAATAGTTTATTTTGCTTAAACATATGCGCAGTGTTTGTATACCCATTAATTTCCTAAATCTCACTTCATATTTTTTACATGGTTGTTCACCTACATCCTGCAGTTTGAGAAGCATGGGTATATGTAAAGATTCACTGTTTAAATAATATCTGATAATGAGGGTATATCAGGAAATTAAAAAAATCACGCACCCATCTCAAGCACAGCCTGATGGGTAGTGGTTGGTTGGTTGTTAATGTCGCCAAACCGCATTCGTATGACCTCCATTAAACTCTTTCGGAGTATTTCAAGAAAAAGAAAAATAGACTGGTCCTGAAGAAAGCAGGTTTTTCCTGATCTGAAGTCTGAACCATAATGACATCAGTGGAGGTGTCATATTCTGTTGACTTTATTTTATTGTGCAACCTTGATTAGTGTGGTTCAGCTTAAAGTTTGTGGAAATATGGGTTGGGTGGCTAGACTATACAGAGCTCATTTGATGGAAAAGAGCTGCATTTAAACCTGAGAGCACTCTGGTCATGGCTTGTTTATTGTTTGCTATATTTTCAAATCAAGGCTAATTTTTGTGGTCCTGAATGACTCAGGCTAATGGACGATAGAAGGTGGATACTTTTTCCCCCCCCTAAATAATAGAGAAAGATCATTATTACGTTTTATAATAAAGTTACATTGCAGCAGTGATATTCACAAGCCAATTAGTTGTGCAATACATCAGGGCTTACCTGAAAAGTGATAGTGTATACAGAACGTAATAGAGTCCAAGATTTATTAATACCAGTGTTAATGCTAATGGAACATTATTATTACTCCATAGGCAGTTTTCGGGACACAGCGTTTGTCTTTTAACGTTTTAATTATTCTTTGTCTCCGTCGGAGAAGGTGTTTGTATGTGCAGTTGTTTTTTTTTCCCCCCTTCAGCTTCCAAGGCTTCTTTGAGAGAGGGAAATGGCCCATTGTTTTAGAGGGGAAGTGCCACTGGCGGTTGTCCAGGAAATGGTCATCACTGTGTGACTGGCTGGGATTTAGATTTGTAGGCCAAAAGCCTGGCACTGATGCTGAAAATAGCTAAGACGATGGCATTTTAGGTGGCTGTAATCATAGAGGCCTTGTGGGGTTTTTTTGTATGTTTATCAATCACTGTTTACGGAGACTTGACATCTTACAACCGTTACAAATGATGAACTCTTGTCTTCACAGATGTGACTCTTAAGGTTCACCTGAGCGATGCCAGCACTCACCAGCCCCTGGTTGGAGCCACCGTACAGCTTTTTGCCAATCGTACTTCTTTAACAACTGAAACCTCATCAGCCGACGGCAACATTTACCTGCGTTTTCCCTATCGCCTTGGGACGCCGCTTGTTGTCACCGCAACTAAACAGGGATATGTGCCTAACTCTGTGCCCTGGACTCCCTCCAGATTACCTGGTAGGTGTGTGTGAGTGAGTGAGTGAGTGAGTGAGAGAGCGAGAACTCGTACATATATTTTGAGAAGTAACCAGATTAACAAGAACAGTGTCTCACTAAACTGTGGCATTAACAGATTGTTTTCATGTTTTATGTTTTTATGTGTGTGTGTGAAGAAAAAAAAAGTACATTTTTTGTGCCAGGTGTGTGAGCTAATGAGTGGAGTGCTCCATTACTAATTTATAGCTTTAGATGCCAAAACTCAGCAAGGGGGCTGCTTAAGCTTCCCTTTCACTAACACACACTCACGCAAAATACCTCCCAGGAGCCTGGAGTGTGTGTGTGTGGGAAGGGGGTTATTATGAGCCAACGGAACGGCGGCCAATTGGATTATCACGCTTACCAGCTCTGAACAATGGGCGAGTGAGGGGAAAAAAGGAAGGAAGAGCAAAGAAGTGCAGTTTGCTGGGTCAGGCTGTGGTCCTGCACAGCAGACAGGATGAAAGCAGGACTATTAAAAATGCATAAAGATGATTTAATGACTTGTGTTTCAGAGTGATTAGTAAAGTGGTAGATTAGAGCTTGTTTCTAATCTCATAGTGAAGTTATTCCTATACACTGTGTGTGTGTGTGTTTTTATTTCTCCTCTAGTATTTTCATCCATCAGCCTGGACCTGCTGCCAGAAAGAGCTGCAACTCTGATGGTGTACGAAGATGTTGTTGAGATTGTTCCAGGATTACAAGGTGAACACACTGTCTGTGTGTGTGTTTGTATGCAAGTGTGTGTGTGTACAGTTTATTGTTTTTAAAGAAAATCAGACTTTTAAATCGAATTATTTCATTGAAATAGAAAGATTATAACATTTTGGTCCATCACACCTTGGGCAGACATATTGGCACTATCTCTGCGCACACACACATGCATAGGAAATGACTCAGTCATAATGTTTATAAGGCCTCGGTCACACTGGTGACCGGTCACAGACTCCATGGCAACTACAGGTCACTGTGGGAAACTGTATTCCCAAACCTGCTGCCAAGTGGTTCTTGGTATTACTGGGTGGCTGCACCACCTTGTTATTGCATTTAGAGTCCAACCGGCAGGTGGATATAATCACCCGATATTTGCTGTATCCGCATTTGTCATGACTAATAAATAGAAATTTTAAAAATACAAAAAAATTAAAAAAGAAACATCACTCAACCAAGCATTATTCTTTGTGTTACATAGTTGCTCCAGTAGAGGAAACACTGCAATTTCCCTGTTAGCGACACATAAAGCTGCGTCCCTACTGGAAGCGATTCACGCTTTGTGCATTACTTTGAAGCTGAACGCTATTTGCTTGTGGGCGTTCCAGGCTCTGGTTCCCTCTAAACTTATTTACTATTAGTAGGTGAGGTGAGGAAGACGGGACAAAAGATACACTGTGTAAGAGAGCCAGAGTTTAATAATTAATAATGACTAAATAACAGCAGTGGTGTTTAAACACGCAGAAAGTAAAAAAAGAGGAGTGAAGACGAAATACTTCATCATGGGAAATCCCCAGCAGCCTAGACCTACTGCAACATAACTAAGGGAGCATTCAAGGTCACCTGATCCAGCCCTAAATATAAGCCTTATGAAAAAGGAAACTTTTAAGCTTTACCCTAAAAGTAGAGAGGGTGTCTGTCACCAGAATCCAAACTGGGAGCCTTTTTAACCTTAATTTATATTTTATTCCTTCTTAGTTAAATTTACCCTTTTTAATTTTTCATATTTATTTCCTATCTTATTCATAGCCTTTTCCTTTTTTGTTTTCTTTAGGTCACGAGCAGTTGTCCAAGCATTTCACTACATATCGTACTGTGTATGACTGTGTACGTGACAAATAAAATTTGAATTTGAATTTGAATTTGAAAGCTGAAGGCTCTGCCTCCCATTCTACTTTTAAGTACCCTGGGAACCACAAGTAAGACTGCAGTCTGAGAGGGATGTGCTCTGTTAGGATAATTAGGTACTGTGAGATCTTTAAGATATGATCAGGCCTGATTATTCAAGATTTTATTTGTGAGGAGAAGGATCTTAAATTTGATTAAGGGAGCCAATGAAGAGAAGCCAATATGGGATAAATGTGCTCTTTGTTTCTAGTCCCTGTCAGTACTCTCACTGCTGCCTTTTGGATCAACTGAAGGCTTTTCTGGGGGCGGGGGGGTTAGGACATCCTGATAATAATATAGTCCAGCCTAGAAGTAATAAATGCATGATATTTTCAGTATGACTGGGAGACAGGATGTTTCTAAATTTAGAGATATTCCCCAAATGCATGAAAGCAGTCCTACATATTTGTTTAATGTCGTCACTGAACTACATACCCTGGTCAAAAATGACTCTTAAGATTCCTCATAGTGTTACCGAAGGCTAAGATCATACCAGCCAGAGTAAGTATCTAGGACAGAGTACAATAACCTCAGTGTTTGAGTATTTGTAAGAGAACTCAAGTTGGGATGAAAGCCATATTTTGTCATTTTTGTCATTGGCGACAAGTGTTTTTTTTTTTTTTTAAACATAATTAATACACTCCTAATATAAAATGCTATCTTATATTAAATGGCCTGTTATCAGGAAAATATCTAATACCTGATATAAAGAAAACACACCATATAGACATAAATCACAAGCGTGTCTTTGTTATTCCGTTTCTTTGTTTGGGTGTAATTACATTAGATAAGGCTTTTTCATCCAGGCAAATCAATTTGGTCTCTTTGTCTGTTGACTCTTTTGTATGGCTCTGGCCAACAGGGGAGTAATTTAGCTTGTCAGCTGTGTTGTCTGACTAAAATAAATTTCTCACATAAATATACAGGCTCCATTAACATATGAACCTCTTGAATACACACTGCCTGTAGCACGTGCCTGAGCCGGGCACAGTCCAGCCCCCTGTCCTGCACAGTCTTTCATGATGCTGTGAACTTGGACACCCAGGGGAGTGATGAACCCGGGCGTGTGGCAGAGGGAGGGATAATAAAAGAAGTGGAAAGGAGAAGAGGAGGAGGAGGAAGGGAATGTGGTATGCATTGGGAAGTTGTGGGAGGAGAGAGTGGGAGAGAAGGGGGGGATGGGCCGAGCAGTGTCCAACAGAAGGAGGAACAGATGAGGTGAGAAAAAAGTGGAGGGAAAAACACAAAAAGAGTCAAGGAAGGGGGCACACAAAGAACAGCAACAGGCTCATTTCCTCTCTGAAAAACAGAACCGCAGACAGGAAATAACATTCACACCTGAATTTTTAGGACGAGCTTTAGTCTGAAATGTGAAAGTGTCGCTCATACTGCACGCCCAAAAATCATGTCGAGCACAAGGAGAAACCCAAACACAGCGAACACTCGTGTACAGCTTGATCCATGTCTCACTGCTCAAGAATGTGCACTCGGCACAGTTGGACCACAATGACATCACCTTGCTGAATCCCACTACATGCTTTTTGGTTTTCAGTTTATTGTTTCTAATCTATAATTTGTTGATTTGTTGAAACTAGATGCCAGGCAGCCATGATGACAAATCAAAAAGAAACAATTCATTGCAAAATATCAGAAAAGAGAATCACGTTGGCCAGGAGAGAAAGTCGACCAGGGCGTTATTGATCTAGAGCTGCCTCCATTAAGCTTAATTTGATGTCTGAATTTATAAGAAGGCACTAGGAGTATAAAGCTGCCTTGTAAAACATGTTCAAACAAACATCAGTGTGCATGATGGACTCTTGAGGTCAGGTGATTTCAAGGTTTTAAGCTCACATTGCTCCATAGTGTTTAATAGGGAGACTGAATATATCCTATACCTTATATATTCTATACTTATGCGCTATATACTAACTGAATTAATTGCCATTGTCTTGTATAAATTGAATGAATTCCGTGGAATTTTAGATGTCATTCCCACTTTCTCCGCATTATTATTGTTACTATTATGTTAAAGTCTGTGTCAATTATCCAACTAAAATACTCAGACGGATTTGAATAATATTTTAAATGACAACTCAGTTTCATTTTCTGTGTCACAGGTTTAAGAGTCCAGCCCAGGGTTAGTTTCCTGCACAGAGCTCTCAGTCTTCCTCCCAACACATCGTACGCCAACCTGACCGCGCTGCTCACCGTGGCAACCTCCCCCTCACACATCCAGCACTTTCCCCACCTGGAGATGCTCAGTGGCAACGGCACAGGTGAAGGTTAGACTGACGGGTCAGAGCATATAGTTAAAGACACCTTCATAGAAACGGGACAGAGGAAAAATGTGCTGAGAGAGGGTGAGGCGTGAAGAGTAGCAGGAGCAGCTCATCAGAAAGACACTACCGTCTCTATCTGACCTCCTGAAACACAATAACCCGTGTGTGTTTGTGTGTGTGTGTGTTTTCTCTCTGCTCTAACACAGCCCGCGTGCCCACACGCTTTCAGGCACTCTTATCCACATCTTGACATTGCATGGACTACACTGGCCTATAATACGAGTGATGACAAACATGTTCATCAATATGTGCAAACAAGGCTTATTTTTTAACATAATACAAAAATATGGATAATTAGAAATGGTCTTATCATAACATCCAGAAGACAGACTCTGGCAATGTTTTTGTTCACAACTCAGCCAGAAAAATGATAAACAACGATCTCATAAATGTATTTGTTTATAAAAAAATATGAGCTGACACATCAACATCATAATCCTTAAAACCATGCAACAGACTCGTACGTTTTTTTGTGTGTGTCCCCCTTTTTTTTTTTCATGTGACTTGAATACCCCTTCAAAGCTGTCTCCCCCGACAGAGCGTACCTTCTTCCTCGAGGCGGCTTTGTGACACTTTCCATCCTCAGTCTTCAAGTTTTTTTCCGCCCTCCACCCAGTTTTCTTCTTTCCTGTCTTTCGCTTGTTTTCTTTCCTGTCTGTCTTCCTCTGACAGCCCTCCTTTATCTAAGCTGTTTTACGTTACCTCCCCCACTGTCTGCTCCTTTCTCCGCTTCCCCTCCTGTGCACCTTACTCCCGCTCCCTTTCCTTTTCCCTGCATTTTTCTCTCTCACGTCCTCGTGTTTGCACTCTCACAGGCACGGAGAAGACGTTCGAGTTGACTCCTGTCGCAGCCATCTCTGTTCACCTGTTGGCCGGCGATGGAGTGGAGCTGCAGGTGACTGGGCCAATCACCTTCTCTGTGCCCCTCCCGCCTGATAGTGGCCTGAAGGAAAATGATCACCTCCCTACTTGGAGATTTGACCCGCGCTTAGGTATGTATTAACAGAAACTCACACGTAAGCTTTTCTGACTTTCTACATTTAAGTTCAGGAAGTTTTTAACTCTGAAGGCTTTACTTCTGTTTATATGAGACCTGCAATTATTTGTGAAAAGAGCACATTACAAGCACTAACACAAACCACGTGCATGCTCACATGGTGCAGCCAGGTCATAATTTGTGGCTGTGTATCAGAGCGATGAATAGAATTATTCATACGATCATAAAAATTGCCAACATACAGCTACACATTAATCTCTTCACATCACAAGTTTGGACTGTGGATCCATAATCTGCCCGTGCTCAGTTAAATCTTGAACTGAACAATAGCTAAAAGCCCTGCGGTGTTGGCTCATGCAGCGGAGACATTTCAAATCTCTCTCGGCGCTCTGATTTACTCCTGCGATCTTAAATCTTTGTTGTCAGTCGTCCTGCACTGTGACACACCCAGTTCCTCTCAGAGAGGCTCCACTTAAAGACAGTGATTCGATCATCAGTTGACTCAGACGTGTCTGCACTACAAAACCTCCTTCTGCATGAACATTAGTGTCTCAACAGATCCACTGCTTCCTCTCATCAGCAGGAAAAAGCTTTGTTAGGACCCACTGGAATTATTTGGGGAAAAGCTGTAAACACACATAAGATTGACATACCACCTATTAATCAGAAGACTAGTGTATTAGCAAATGTTATGTAGACATTCATGAAATTATCATTTTGAAGGTGCAATTCTGTTTAATATTAACTCTCCTTTAAGCTCTGTTTTCTGAGGACAGCGTTGGTTTTCAGCTGTTAAATGTGTCAGTTTGTTCTCCACCTAATTATATTATCACTGTTGTTTGTTGCTGTGCTTGTAGCAGTCTGCTATGGCTGGAAAAAGGACTGATTAAAGCAGCAAGGGTGGGAAAACAAAGTCGTAAATTTCCAGTCCTGAAAAACAAAATCGTGAACTGAAAGATACTGAAACTTGTGGAGTTGAGGGGAACTCCTGGCTGGGCATATTTCTTGGTTAATTCATCACTATTACTGATATCTCACAATTGGATTAAAATCCTAAAAATGTCGTACTTCCCACGTGTCATGATATGTGTACTACATTCATGCTACAGTCATTTCACAATAAACATTTTAGAGCTCTGATTTATTTGGCCAAACAGTGTCTAAAGATTGCTACTAGAAGTGTTTAGTGAGCTCTAGATGGGCAGATGAATGGATAGAAAGAAAATAAAACATTTGAATGGCAAGTATTTTGAATTTCTCCTTCATTAGTTCAACGTTATTCCCTGTCTGTGCTGTGCAGTTTTCATCTGAACTGTAATCGTACGTCAGAGTGTTACATTGATTAAAAAACAGATCCACATTGGCTCCTGTGATAGTTTCAGGATCTCAGGAGTCTGTTTTAAAGCGCCTAAAGTATCAACATGCAGGGCTTATAAAAAGGGCTTTCATTAAAGCTGAATGAACACACACACACACACACTTGTATCCTCCTCACAGCCTGTAGCTGCGAGTATTTCAACAACAAGAAGCCGTTCCCGGACCCCTCTCCAGGCTACATCTCATGTTCCTTAGCAACCCTCCAAATAAGTAACACAACAGACCGGCCCATCTCCTGATTGAGTTTCTTCACTGAGCATTTAGTGGGTGAAATGTGTGTGAGTGTTAAACTGAAGATGATAAATAGACAAAAAGAAGTTTGAAATCCATCTGGTGCCTGCGGTGGAAGACTTCAGGCTGAGGATGGCAGCCTCACAAAGACGCTAGTATTGTTTATGAAGTGCTCGCATGGAGGAGGCATGAACACAGAGAGAGAGAGAGGGAAACCTGTTTCACTTGTGCAACTGGCAACATGTCATGTATTGTTTGATGTCAAGCAGGCATGGGGAGGACTGATGTCATACACAAACAGATCATGTTCACCTGGGTGTGCGAGTCGGGAGTCTGACGATGCAAATAAGCGCCGCTCGCTCAGATCAGCCGACGACTCTCTGCGGCTGGACGTGTTGGCTTTGTGTGAATGGGCGAGAAGCAGAAGTAATATATGGGCTGTATTGACTTTATAAATGTTTGCCTTGTGTCTGAGTAGCTGCCCTGCTGTCTGTCAGTGCTGTATTGTACCGAAGCGTGGGAACAGGTCCGTCGTTTGTAGCTATGAAACAGGTCAGCCACACAGAGAGGACTCCCCTGTGGAAAGGATTCAGAGAGGGACCTGGGTGAATCTGGGCAGGGCTGGGCACAGTGGTGTGTGTGTGTGTGTGTGTGTGTGTGTGTGTGTGTGTGTGTGTGTGTGTGTGTGTGTGTGTGTGTGTGTGTGTGTGTGTGTGTGTGGTGCTGAGTCACACAGCCTCGCTCTCATTTCTCTTCTGTTTCTTGTGCCTGTTCCCTTATCTCTCTTTCCACTCCTCCTGTTTATCCCCTCGTTTCCTCTGCTTGTGATGTTTCCCCCCGTCAGCATCTCTTGTATATTTGCCTTTCCTCTTTGAATATCCTCTTTACCCTTTTGTTTCCTCCTTTTATTAAACATGATGCATATTCCTAACCACTTGATGTTATATAACTTTGTATAAACATAGAAACAAAGTAGGTCTCACCGCGTTAGCCCTGAGAGCCTGAGGATCGGAAGTGTAAAGGCACAACACAGTGTTTTCCTCTTGAAGCAGATTTACTGGGAGCCAATCAGTCAATGCCTCTAGCTTTGTAGTGGTTTTCCATTCTGGCTATGCGGAGAGCCGCTATTGTACTCAGTGTACACTGCTCATAGGGTAACACTGTTATCTACATGTTGCCTCCTTGTGGGAGAGTTAAGTACTACCAAAACACTGCCGTCTCTAGAACAGGTCAGGGCAGACATTTGAGTCGTTAATCAGAGTATCTGCAGCTTTGGGGAGGGCAAAGAAAGTCACAAGTCAGTAGAAGACATTAAGCTGTGCGTATAGGTGGCACTTCAAACTATTATTTTGAATCTGTTCCACCAGACACATACACTGCTAACTAGACAGTTCATTATAAAGCTTCATCATCAAATGTTGATTTTAGTCAAAGAAGAGGTGTGTTTGGTCACCTTTTAGCCGTTCCCTTTAGCATCACCACAGTGCACAGGTGTCGAACTCCAGGTCTCGAGGGCCGGTGCAGGTTTTAGATGTGTCCTTGATCCAATACACAGTACTCTTTTAATCCCAGTCTTCAGCTTCAGCTCTGCCACTTCCAGCTTCAGGTCTGCCACTTCCAGCTTCAGGTCTGCCACTTCCAGCTCCACCTGCTGCCTTTTCTGCCAGTGTCACCATGTCCAAACCATACATCAGGGGTGGGCAACTCCAGGCCTTGAGGGTCGGTGTCCTGCAGGTTTTAGATCTCACCCTGGGTCAACACACCTGAATCACATGATTAGTTCATTAGCAGGCCTCTGGAGAACTTCAGGACATGTTGAGGAGGTCATTTAGCCATGGTAATCAGCTGTGTTGGATCAAGGACACATCTAAAACCTGCAGGACACCGGCCCTCGAGGCCTGGAGTTGCCCACCCCTGCCCTACATTATAGGTCTCACTACCAACTTGTAAAACTTTTACTCTTATGTTTGAACAAATATTTCAGAGTGAAATACTGTAATTAAATCTACTGGTTTATCCAAACGGCTATCATTTGGCTAAGATCTTGAGCATAAATAATTTACTCCTAACACATTAAGAGATTAGCTGTCTTAACTCCATCGAGCCCCGTCTTTACATAATTAGGGGAGGCAGGTGAGCAGTTGCTGCAGCCAGTCCTCACAGAGTAACCTTTACAAAGTTTGTTTCCACATACTGTGATTTCTTTTGTGTGTCTTTAGGTATCTGGATAAAGAGCAGCTGGGCTCAGGTGCAGAGGGAGGGAAACCAGCTCAGTCTAACCTACATTGTTCCTCAGCTGGGGTATTGGGTGGCCGCCATGTCGTCTCTACACACCGGTAAGAAAATCCATAGACACAAATTAAATTTACTTCGCAAAACACATATTTTTGTTCTGTCATTTATGTGGTTTACTTGACTGCAGACTTCCACCAAAAAGCTTTTTCTCTGGTGCTTCAACACATGTCTTTGTAACAGGTCCAATGGTTGCAAAGGACATCAGCACGTACCACACTGTGTTTCTGTTGGCCATACTGGGAGGCATGGCTCTCATCCTGCTCTGTCTGCTCTGCCTCCTGCTGTACTACTGCAGGTGTGTGAAACACTTTGCCTTTACACAGACTATAGCATGAGTTTCCAGATTAGTATCTAAATTAGTGAAGATGATGTCAGTCTGTAGCTAGAACATGTGTACTGCTGCTTGGGATTTATTTCTCCGTTATTGTTCCAAAATTTACCTTAGCAGGCCGACAGGACAGCTTGGGCTTATCTCCTCTCAAGAGCTGGGGTGTTTGTATGCCACATTTAACTGAACATTAACAATACATTCCTTTTTTATTGAATCCAGCACCATCTGTCATCCTTCTGTCTGCCTAGGTTTACACGTTTATTATTTCTTCAGTTGTGATAACAGTACCAGAAAACAAAGCCCTGTACTAATAAAAGTTCTCCAGAGTAAGTCACATGGCAGTAATATAGTTTTTATGTTGATCAAATGTAAACAATCTGGACCCGGGCAGCTGCGCTACACAGTAAATATAAAACCCTCACAAATGCTCTTGTCCAGTCTCAACTTGTTCCAACAAAAAGTCAGGGATGTATTTTTCACCATTAGAAACATTTGTGTGTAATTATTCCGATTTTAAAGATTAAACGTGCTCTTTGTCTGTGTTCACCCAGACGTCGATGTTTAAAGCCACGAGGGTCTCACCGCAAGCTCACGCTGTCCTCTGGACTGGACAGCAGTAAGAGGGACCAAGCCACGTCCATGTCTCACCTTAACCTCATCAGCAATGAGGTGTGTTTGCTCAGTGATCAGATGGCACAGTTTAAGGAGTTTGCACATTAATGACTGTTTAAAGGTGTTGGAAATAGAAAACACCAAAGTCGTTTACTAAATATTCAATATTTTGGATGTTCTCTAAAGGACGTATTGCATAGCCAGGCTTTCTTTGCATTTGCTGTCTTTGTACACCCAGGCTTTCTACTTCAGGATCAGGCTGCGCTACATTAAAACAGGGTGTCTGATACATTATTTCACTCTTATTCTGCACAAAAAGACTGATTGTGTGTAGCCTACCTCAGCTGGACACATTAATTATTTATTTAATGTATTAGGAAAAATCTGCTAAAATTACTCTTTAGTTAATTAGTAAATATATTTATTTCACCACTCTGTTATTTCTAATGTGAAATAGCTGCAGGTTAGAGCGCCAAACCTTAAACTGATTCTGTCTAATAGCCTTATAAAATGAGGAAATTGCATTACATTAATCATGACATTACATCATATTAGGTTAACTTGCGCTGTTTCCTCGGGATAAATAACCTACAAATAAGCGTCTGGACTTCTCAGTCATGACCTGGATGACTGAGAACCTTCACAGACAACCTACAAATAACTTGTATTCTGTTACCTGTAGTTCAGCAGTGTTAAACTAACTATTATACCTTCATTAATTACTGTGGGAATGCGTGACTCAACAGTTTTCATATATACAGTGGTGTATAAAGTGTTTGCCCCCTGCATATTTGCCAGTGTTTCAGATCATCACACAATTTTTTTAGAATTAGACAAAGAGAACCCGAGTAAAATGCAGTTTTTAAATGATGATTTCATTGATTAAGGCAGAAAATTTATCCAAATCTGTCTGGTCCTGCGTGAAAAAGTAATTGTCCTTGTAGTTAAATCATAAATCCACTGTGATTTTGAAAGCTGAGTTGAGTTTCAATAAAAAGCCTGATTACTGTCAGACCTGTTGAATTAAGAAATCGCTCAGATAGAACCTGACAAAGTGAAGCGGGCTAAACGATTTCAAAATGTAACACATTACAGTACGATTTAAAGAAACAGATGAGAAACAACACTGACACTGGCCCAACTAGTTATTAGGTTTTGGGGGCAATCACTTCTTGGACTTTTTTCCCACTTCATAATCAACTCCTTCACTTAGAAACTGCATTTTGTGTTTACTTGTGTCATCTTTGTCTAATATTTAAATTTTTTGATGATCTGAAACATTTAAGTGTGCCAAACACAAAAAAGGGAAATCAGGGAGGGGGTAAACACTTTTTCACACCTCTATAGAACATAGAATCTACATCAGTTTATCATTTTTACAGCTTGTCGATGGAGGGAAAGGCAGTAATATGTGGCCCATGAAAAAGAGGGGGGAAAAGACCTTGGTACCTGGTTCAGCACATGTTGCTATGGGGATTTAGATGGGTAAAAACTGAAAGCTCTGGCTTTAGGCTCAACATACCTGACTTGCTCATAGCTTGCCCCTAGGAAGGAAAACGTGTATCGATGCTAACCTGTGCTCCTTAAGTGCACTGCATGGTTGTTTGTTGGTCCTGTGCAGAGCTTTGCTGTGGAGATCATTGTGCTGTAGCTGCGTTTGTGTGGTTGGTCCTTTAACTTGGCCCCTGGAGCAGAGAAGACAGGAGTCATAATAACAAAGAACTTCTTTGTAATAAAGTGAACCTGAGTGTTTCAAAATGTTAAAAATTGTCAGCTGCAGCCATGTTTATGCTTTTCCCCTCATTTTGATTTTTCAACCAATCAAAAGGCTGTTTTTATGGATAACAACACACCTCCTTCACCCTTCTTAACACAAAAGAACACCAAGATGGGACCAAACACATGAATTACTCACACTATAGCACTCTACGTGTTTGAAATTAAACTACAGTGTTTGTTATGGTTTGCTTCATGTGATTGTATTTAAAAACATTCTCACACCTGAATTTTGTTGTTGCCTTCAGGTGCAGCTGGAGCTTGTTTCCACGGGGACTGAGCCTGACATGACCACTCCGATGCTCAAGCCTTCCTCATATGAGCACCGAGACAATCAACGTCAACACAGCCTTATCCATCAAAACAAACACAGCCGCTCCTCTCTCGGCAACAACAGCCACCACGGGTCATCTCTGGGCAATCTGACGCCTCGCAGCCGAGACTACCGACAGTCTGTAGAGACGTTTCAACTGAGGGCTGCTCTATCATCGGGGACAGAGAGGGGCTACCGTCAATCATACACCTCCTTCTGTTCATCTAGCAACCAGATTTCAGATGCGTTGTCATCCACTAATCATGGTCAAGTGTCAGCTACACAGCTTAGCAGTGTTGGGATTATTGATTGCATCTCCCCTTCATCTCCTCCGCACTCCCCCAGCAGAGGGGAGGGAGGTGAGTGCAGGGCTGCTGACCACCTTCTGTCCCGGTCTGTGGACCACCTGGAGCGGCCCAGTCCCCAGTTGCTCTCCCGGCCAGGCCAGCTGCTCTGCTGCGGCTCTGTAGATCTGCTGAGTGGAGGGGAAGGCTACTCAAGAGTGCGACCCACACTTGTAATCCCAGCACACTACATGCGGCTGCCTGGGGAGCACCCTCTGTCTGGTCAGGCGCTCCTGCTGCAGACTGACCAGCAGAGTGACTTAGAGACCATCCAGGCTGAGCTCAATGCCTCACATTCCCAGCAGCCCCTGGGGCAAACCCCCACTGACTGCGACCCAGGTCCAAAAAAGCAGGGTAAAGGCGAGGGTATCTCAGGCCTGTCAGAGTCTCTGTCTATTCCAGGAGCTCTCGGGGAGTCGGGTCTTGTGGAAATAAACAGCGAGGACACCTTGCTGGCTGAAAAGACTTTAATGGAGCTGAGAGGAGGGAAGCCTCTGCCTCACCCACGAGCCTGGTTTGTCTCCCTGGATGGACGCTCCAATGCTCACATTCGCCACTCCTACATCGATCTCCAGCGGGCAGGGTGCCACAACAACAACAACAGCACACCTAGTGCAGGAGGTCAGCAAGGTAGCAGCCGTCAAGGGAGGCATGGCAGTTGTAACGATGCCAGTCTGGACTCGGGTGTGGACCTGAACGAGCCGAGAGCGGGGCGCAGGGGGAGAGATGCTGAGCAGGAGGAAAGGGGGATTGAGAAAGACAGATCAAAGGGGGCGACGCCAGCCTCGGCCTACACTCAGCTGGTGTTTGTGGATGATCTGAATGTGGGAGGCTGTGAGGAGGAGAAGTGCACCCACAAGGGCAGCAAATCTGGACCTGTCTTGTCAGACAAAGGAGAGAGTAACAGAGTGGATCAGGGGCAGGGGGATGCAGTGGGTAAAACAGCTGAGGGAGTACAAATACAGGAGGAGCCACCCTCACTTTCCTCTGCATCCCCTACTTCTCCTCCGCCCCTGCCAACTCCAGAGGGAGTGACTTTCAGGACTGATCACGCGCTGCTGTCAGTGTCTCCGGATGAGGACGCAGCACACGATGATGCAGAAGAGGAGAAGAAAAGCCCCTGGCAAAGGAGGGAGGAGCGACCCCTGCTGGCCTTCAACCTCAAATGATTCACAGATGACAAAGGAAAGATTCACATTTTTCAAGTCTGTTTGAAGTAGAATGCCAGTTTAAGGCTTTTTTTAAGTTGCCATGCTGTTTTAAAAAAAAAAAAATCAGCGTTAATTAAACAATCTCTTTCCCCTTCTGGGAAAAATTTATCAAAGTTAACAAGATGTTGAGCAAAGTTAAGTAAGGTTTAATCATAAAATCTCAGTGAAAACTGATCTTCAAGTTGAAATGAGAAGCACGCTAAATATTTAACATTTCAGACATGGGAGAGAGTCTCAGTATGCGTGCCATAAAGCAACGATAAAAAAGCATAACCACACTGCACAGCATTGCCGCTAAAAACTGGATTTGTGTGTTGCCGAGAGAGCTGTACCCCACCCCTCCAACTCATGCTCAAAGAATGAGGTGTCCTGATCCAAGCAGAAGTGGTGTTGTTGAGGTTAAAGTGTCATCGTGTTCTTATTATTGCTGTTTTGAGCATTTTCTAGTGAGCTAGGCAACTCACAAAGTCACATTAGAGGCATGCTCAGTGGTAATCCTGTCCACTAATGTGGCTGAATGCATCCATTCTGGGGAGTGCAACTGTGATTTATTTCCTCCACTTTTCAATACACTTCACTTTCAGAGGCAGCATCTTTTCAGGCACTATGTGGAGAAGGAAAGGTACTAGGAGGAGGAAAAATGATCAGGAAACACAAGTGCATGTCGGTTCTGCTTTGAAACAGACTTGGAAGAGTGTAAATCTGCCCGTTAACCACAAGTCCTCCTCTGCTCAGACCACAACATGAAGGATATATGTGTTTAAATTGAAGCCGTTTGTTCTTAATATAGCACTGAATCAATACTTTAGCACTGGGAGCCCATCTGGTTGAGAAATGAACACTTCTGCTGGACTCTTAATGACCACTGTTGTACTTCACTTTTCATGAAACGCTACATAAACAGACCACTCGTCAGGCGTGGCGAACACATTGCCTGAGGGGAGACATAAAGACGCTGGAGGCACGAAATTAGGATATTTTATGCACAACAAATATATGCCTTTTTAATAAATAGCCTTGCAAGCATAAATGAACTGTAGTAGAAGCAGTCGATGGGTGGTTCATGGAAAATCCGAGACTACAAAAAACTTTCTTTCTTGAGCCATATTGTCCTCAGTCCATTAGCTTAATCTAGTAACATGCAGCAACACTCGTTTGAAGGTCATAACCCCGGTTTGTTCACACTGACTGATGTCTGAGATTATGAAACATCTGTGCAAAACGGGGCAGCCGTGTTCGAGGGATTTACTTTGAACGGTTGGTGGTATGTTGCTAGAGTTTAATCTAGCCCATCAGAAGGCTTTGTGGGAGATAAGGTTTCTGGACTGAGGAGGTTTAACCACTATCTGCTCTGTAGCATAATCAGATAATGTGACACACCGCTATGCTGGTGGGTAAGGATGTAATACCACTTCAAAGCCACCCAAATTAGTTGTGAGGGATATTGGTATGAAGGGTTTTGTAACTGTTGAACCACTGACTGGTGTATTTTTTATGTTTTGCTTTGAAGGCTATGCATAACTTTTATATGGCTGCTTGATGCCTTTTTTTTTTGTAATTTTAATCATAATTTTAATTGCCAAACATGAAGTATTTTATCTGAGAATAGGCTATTTTTTTTTCTTTCTTTTAAATATGTTAAGGGCTTTTCCTCCGTACCCACCTTAACGTTCAAGCTATAAAAGCAAACGCTCGATAACCTTTCACCTGAAATGCAAACTGTATTTGCTTGCTGTGTTTCACCTCCATTTGAACCACTCACCCACGATCCAAGTGCCTTTGAATAGCCTGACTCTACAGCAACTGATTACCTTATTTATTTCTCACCTCCTTTTGCCTTCGTCCGCCCTCCCCCTCCTTCCTACCTCAGCCCTTACTTTCTCTCCTGCTTGTGAAAGAAAGCATGCAGTAAACTTTCCTCAGCACTAGCGTATAACAAGCTACACTGCAGACATCTCAGAAAATGTCTACCAGCTGCTGCAATCGTAAAATCCTCTACAGTAATCAGCAAGAGTTCAGTCTCCCTCAGAGTAAGCAGTTAAAGATGTTTTGTTTTTGTGTGTGTGTGTGTGTGTGTGTGTGTGGTGGTGTGTGTTGTGTGTGTGTGTGTGTGTGGCACTGGATATGTGAAACTACACTGCAGGTCGTTTCAGTGCATTTTCTTATTTTTGTGTTTTGTGGGTGAACGTTTGTCTGAAATGTGTTTTGCAGTGGCGGCTGAGGTGATGCTGACTGATCAACATGCATCCAGTCAAGGTTCACATAGACAAAGCAGCCATATTACAGAGTGTGTATAGTCTTTCCTTACCTCTGCCTTATCAAAATAATGTGTGTCTTTGTGTTATGAATGGCCTTTTCTCTTTTAGTTTCCCACACAGCAATCTCCCCTTTTAGGGTGGATGAGCAATACAGTATCTTTGAGTGTGTAAATCAGATGCTTGCATTATATTTGAAGCCTGTTATTCTGAATAAACAGCCAAACTGGAATTAACTGAGTGTGCATCTGTTTGCAAAATTAAACCTCTATATCTCTTTATACGCTAATCCAGATAGTAGTTAAAATGTATTCATATGGGCCACTTTATTGGGTACACCTTGCTAGAATCAGCTGGGAGCCCTTTTTGCTTTCAGGTGGCTGCATATCCATGATGGGAATCTCCGGTTACACCATTGTTTGACGATATGATCTTTGTATTAAGGTGCACAACGGCTTCCAAGAAGATGTCCCGCACACCTTTACACTACCAGCCTGAACCGTAGAATCAGGATGGCTCGATGCTTTTGTGGTGTTTACTCCAAATTACGTCATTACCATCTATGTTGCAGCAGAAATCAAGACTCACTAGGCAACGTCTCCCAATCTTCTGTTGTCCAGTGTTGGACTGTATACTCACTTTTTTTGTTTTTAGCTGACTGTGTGGTCTTCTGCTTCTGTGCTTCTGCATATCTTGGTCATAACGAGTGGTTATTTGAGTTGCTATCAACTCAAAGCAATCTGGCTATGACCTCTGGCCTCTTCATCCAGAAAGCTGCCGCTCACTCGACCATTCTCTGTAAACTCTATAGAGATGGTTGTGTGGAGAAAAATCCCAGTAAATTGCCAGTTTTTTTTAAAGAAACTGTTAAATTGACCTGTCTAGACCAGCCTGTTTACACACAGGGTGGTTCCCGGTGTCAGATTCACTTAAATCACTTTTCTTCTCTATTCTGATGTTCGGCTTGAACTTCAGCAGGTCATCTTGATCATGCTTGCATTCCTAATTGCACCAAACCGCTGCCATTAGATATTTGCATTACAGAGTAGGTGTACCTAACAAAATCGCCGTTGAGCGTAAATTAATGTCCTTTCTGAGGGTAATTTTCACCATTTTTTTAAAACAAATTTATTTGTAGTACTTATCATTATAAAGCTTGAGAACATACAATGGTAAAAACATTTCTCATCTTTATTTTCAGATAGGTCAGATATCTACAAAAACATATCAGTTATACCTCCATGGTCCTGACTACAGCCTTCCATAAGGACACCAACACTCCCAGACTCACTGAGGATGGTTTTTATTAACGGATTAATTAGATTAACTTAAGTAACTGATCGGGATCTGTGTGTTTTTATATGTATTTGATATAAGAAAACTGAATAATCCTAAATGATATCAAATCCCCGAAGTTGCTGTCTAAAACATGCCTTATGCAGCGCAGAGTTGTTATATTTTTGTACATTTAAACAGGTATTTTTATTTAATTGTAACCTTTAGGCTTTTTGTTTCTTCTGCTACATCATCAATTCTTTTCCAGGATGGTTTTGTTTACCTAATTTAAATGTGTTTAAAAATGTTGAAGTAGCAAAAAGTGCTACTTTGCACGTGTTTTTCTCATTGATAGTATGAATTTAGAACACACTTGCTGATAGTCCAGCAGATATCCCAGTATCTAGTTTTAAAAAACTGACAATTTATTTTTACTTTGTATTTTCTTATTTAAAAAAATAATTTTAGATTTTTGTCTTTTTTTTTATTACCTGTAATTTGTAATATGTATTTATTTTCCCTCTCAGTATCAGAAACAAGTGTCTAAAGTGTCTATAACATTTAAATGGCTATATGTTTGAAATAAGGTAAAAGTCTAGTTTGGGTACCACTTGGCTTCATGTTAAAGGCAGCAGCTCAGGTCTGAGTTCCCGCCTTTGGCCTCTAGGCGGCGCGATTTCCTTCGACATTTTCTTTGTTTTTTCCATCTCTCGCCCGCTCCCCGTTAGCTCTGTTAAACGGTGGCTGACTATATTTTTAAAACATTTTTATGATGGCGGAGGACAGTGAATCCGCAGCCAGTCAGCAGAGCCTGGAGCTGGACGACCAGGACACCTGCGGGATAGACGGAGACAACGAGGAGGAGAATGAGCATATGCAAGGGTGAGGGGTGGCCTGTCCGGTCGGCTCGGGGAAACGCAGTAATGATATTCCAGGCAGCCTGCTTGTGAGCGGCTAAGGCAGTGAGCCTGCTAGTATTAGCAGACAGCAAACACAGGCCGTCTTGAACTGTTTATAACGTTGTGACCTCTTTAAAGCTCTCCGACTGAATGACATGGCGGGCAACCATTAAGACAAACCGCTAGCTAGCTAACGTTAAGTAGCTGAGCTGTCATTCGTTGCTATGGTAGCTAACGTTAGCTCTGTGTGCGGGTCTAGCCAGCATCCATCCTCATCGTTTGTTTTCATGTCTGTAGCAGTCCAGGGGGAGAGCTGGGGGCCAAGAGGAAGAAGAAGAAGCAGAAGAGGAAGAAAGAGAAGCCAAGCTCGGGGGGAGCCAAGTCTGACTCTGCCTCGGACTCTCAGGAGATCAAGGTGTGATGGTGATGATGACCCAGTGAAAAGAGTGCACACACCCTTTTTTTAGGGCAGGGGATACAATACAAAACAAGGTTCTTTTAATATCCTGAAAATAAAAGAGGAGGGGTAAGAAAAGGGAAAGCAACAACCCAGAATTCAGCTTGTTTGCCGTCAATGTGTCATGGTCAGTAAGGTTTTTCCAGCCTTGGCATGCTCCCTGTTTGTATTCTGTAATGAGGTTCTAGAATGAGGTAGTTTATTTTGCTAAAAGGATATATCACAAACTTTTAGCCAGCTGTGAGATTTCTACATACTGCATGCTGCTTTAGAAAAATAAACAATAACTACATCCAGACTCTGATGTTCTGATCGGATGAAGAAAGCAAATCAAGCTTAACCAAATGATTTAATGACAGGGACTGTCATATTTGGGTTTTTGCATTTATAATTTAAAGATCATTGACTTCATCAATCATTTATACAGTGACATGATTAATCCGGTTTCTCTTGCTCAGTGGGAGTATAGTGTGTAGGAAAAGACCTGTGTAAACATGACTATAAGACTGTTTATTTACATGCACTCTGATGTTGCCTCTCGTCTACATTTAGATTATTTAAAGCATCCAGTGTTTGGTTGAGTGATACAGACATTAAGTAATCTGTGTATGTGTGCCCGCTTTAAATCAGAACCCTGGGCTGCCCATCCAGAAGCTGCAGGACATCCAAAGAGCTATGGAGCTGCTTTCCTGCCAGGGTCCAGCAAAGAGTATAGATGAGGCAGCCAAGCACAAGTACCAGTTCTGGGATACTCAGCCTGTCCCAAAATTAAGTAAGTACTTAGTTAAATTCATTTAAATGAACTGCACTCCTGTTTAAATTGGTATTATTTCCTCTGTCAACAGAAATTATTTTTCTTTCTGCACCAGCGCCATCTGCTGGTTTTATCTCCTCAGTCTGCTGATTTAGGCCAGTATCTTAGAAACATGTCAGCTGCAATGTACAGTAGGGGTCCATGCATTCCCACTGGGCATGCTCAGCAGCATTAGATCAAGCTGTTTCCATAACAGCCATGACCCAACGAGTCAGGCCTTTGTGCAGCCACAGGCTGTGGGGGTTGACGCAGGACAAACAGCAGCAGATTTATATAAAGTCTGATGCCATCAGCGGTTTTGTGCATTGCTCACAGTTTAAGGACATGGAGTTTTATGAGGTCCCGTGGAAGTGTGGTGATTGGAAGACAGTTGCAAACCTTTGACAAAAGGCTGTGCTATTTTTGTAGATGAAGTTGTGACGAGTCACGGGCCAATTGAGGCTGACAAAGAGAACATCAGACAGGAGCCATATTCTTTACCTCAAGGCTTTATGTGGGACACTTTGGATCTCAGTAATGCAGATGTTGTAAGTGCAGTCTTTGTTCAAAATACACCAATGAGATTAATCAGATTAATCAAAACAGAATGATTTATTGTCACGCTCTTTTGCAGCTGAAGGAATTGTACACGTTGTTAAATGAAAATTATGTGGAGGATGATGATAACATGTTCAGATTTGATTATTCTCCAAACTTTCTTAAATGGTAAGCTTCTTCATGTTTATCACATGATGCAGTACAGTAGCTTTAAATGTATGCGGTTATAATAAAAAGATTTTTTCCCCTCTCAGGGCTTTACGTCCACCTGGCTGGTTACCACAGTGGCATTGCGGAGTGAGAGTGTCTTCAAATAAGAAGCTCGTTGGCTTCATCAGTGCCATCCCTGCAGATATACGAGTCTATGATACGTGAGTGTTCATTACTTATTGTATGCATTTGAGAACAGCAGTGATGGGGAAAGTGTTTTACTCATTCAATCCATCCTTTTGTTTCTTTTCTTTTCTCGCTTGTGGCTCCAGGCTGAAGAGGATGGTAGAAATCAACTTCCTGTGTGTTCATAAGAAGCTGCGTTCAAAGCGCGTTGCTCCTGTGCTCATCAGAGAGATAACAAGGAGAGTGAACTTAGAAGGAATATTTCAGGCCGTATACACCGCTGGAGTTGTGCTGCCTAAACCCGTGTCTACATGCAGGTATGTTATTCACTAGTCACACATGTTAAAATATATAAAACAAGGCACTCTCTTTTCATATAAAATTAAAATACCTTTATACTCATGGCATGGTCATATTTAACTTAAAGCTCTGATGGGGGAAAATTGAGTCTACTCTGAATCTTTTCCACCAGTAAAACTCCACCAGTACTTTACTGGTCAAGTTTTCCACTCTTAACCATAGGTTTGCTATTGGTGGAACAACACTAGAAAGATTCAGCCATTCAGTGCCATGAGAATATAAGCATTTTAATTTTTTAATGAAACAGAGTGCCCTGTTGTTTGTTTGTTTTTTGATATGTTAGCTTATACGTATCTCTTCTAAAGAGCACATCTAGTGGAAGTGTTTTGAATTCAGGAAGCACTCCTTTTTTCTTTTTAATCTTGGTCTCCTGTTTTGTTTTTTTGGGTATTTTTTATCCCCAGGTACTGGCACCGCTCTTTGAACCCTAGAAAGCTTGTGGAAGTTAAATTTTCCCATCTGAGCAGAAACATGACCCTGCAAAGAACCATGAAACTCTACAGACTACCAGATGTAAACACTTACACTCATAAGTCCTGCATCTCGCTGTTCCT